CAGCATAGGATTATTTGCTTTTATTTTCCATGTGTTGCAACCTGCAATTAACCAATACGAGTTAAAAGTAAAGAAAGAAAACAACATTTATTTATTTATTTATTTACTATGTTTGTTTGTACTTGCATATAGAAATGTAAACTACTAATAAAATTGAATGTCAAGCGAAAAATAAAATAAGGAAATAGTTTAGAAAAATTGGGTTGCCTCCCAATAAGCGCTTTAGTTAATGTCTATAGCTAGACATTGTTGAAGGTTGGTGGTCAGATCACTGGTTCTCACTGACTCGCTGCAATGTCAAATGGTGCTTCCAAGTAGTGTTTGAGTCGATGGCCATTGACTTTAAACTCGAAACTTGTCTCCCCATTTTTAATATCCACAGCCCCGTGGGGATAAACTTTAGTAACAATATAGGGACCCTACCACCTTGATTTTAGTTTTCCAAGGAATAACTTCAACCTTGAATTGAAAAACAAAACCTTTTGACCTGGCTGAAACTGTTTGTGAAGAAGGTGGCTGTCATGGAATGCTTTTGTTTTCTTTTTGTATATCTTTGCACTCTCATATGCATCATTTCTGAGTTCTTCCAGCTCGTGCAATTGCAATTTTCGTTTTTCTCCAGCAGCATCATATGCATAATTAAGCTCCTTAATTGCCCAATAAGCCTTATGTTCAAGCTCCATAGGTAGATGGCACGCCTTACCATAAACAAGCCGAAAGGGAGATATCCCAATCGGTGTTTTATATGTTGTTCTATAGGCCCATAAAGCATTATCTAACTTAACACTCCAGTCTTTGCAGCTGGCATTGACTGTTTTCTCTAAAATGCGCTTAATTTCCCTATTAGAAACTTCAACTTGCCCAGAAGTTTGAGGGTGGTATGCAGTGGCCACCCGATGACTTATCCCATATTTAGTAAGTAGTGCAGCAAATTGTTTATTTAAAAAGTGCTTGCCCCTATCGCTGATAATTGCCCTAGGTGTCCCAAAACGTGGAAAAATAATGCCCTAAAGGAATTTCAGGACCACAAATCCTTGATTTGTTGGTGTTACAACAGCCTCGACCTACTTAGAAACATATTCAACGGCCACCAATATGTATTGATTTCCATTGGATGATAGGAATGGTCCCATAAAATCAATGCCCCAAACATAGAATAATTGAACCACCAGAATACTTTGCTGTGGCATTTCATTTCGCTTAGACTGATTTCCCACTCGTTGACATCTATCACAAGCCTGATACCAAACATGAGCATCTTTAAAAATGGAAGGCCAGTACAACCCACTTTGTAATATTTTAGCTGCTGTTCGTTTTCCCCCAAAATGACCACCATAAGCATGCTGATGTGCAAACGTCATAACACTTTCTTGCTCTTCTGCAGGAATACACCTACAAATAATTTGGTCTGGGCAATACTTGTATAAGTAAGGCTCATCCCAAAAATAATACTTAACCGTTGCTAAAAAACTTTTTCTTCTGCTGGAAAGTCATATCTGGCTGCAAAATACCTTTAGCCAAATAATTGACAATATCTGCAAACCACGGAGTTGTGTTGCGAATGGACATAAGCTGTTCATCAGGAAAACTCTCATTTAAAGAAAGTAAATCATCTTCGGCTGGGCTAGTGCTAACCAGCCTGGATAAGTGATCAGCCACAACGTTTTCACTGCCTTTTTATCTCTAATTTCTAAATCAAATTCTTGCAGAAGCAAAACCCAACGAATTAACCTTGGCTTGGCGTATTTTTTAGATAATAAATATTTCAATGAAGCATGGTCTGTGTAAATTATAACCTTAGCCCCAACCAAGTAGGATCTGAACTTTTCCAATGCAAAAACAACTGCTAATAACTCATTTTCAGTGGTTGCATAATTCAATTGTGCATCGTTTAATGTCCTACTAGCATAGTAGATGACCTGAGGAATTTTATCTTTTCTCTGGCCAAGAATTGCCCCAATTGCATAATCAGAAGCATCACACATCAACTCAAAGGGTAAACCCCAATTAGGTGCAGCAATGATAAGAGCTGTAGTTAAAAGTGTCTTTAACTGGTTAAATGCCTCTAAACAATCTGCATCAAAATTAAACGGGGTGTCCTTAGCAAGTAGGTTGCACAAAGGACGGCTAATCTTGGATAAATCCTTGATAAACCGTCGATAAAACCCAGCATGACCCAAGAATGATCGAATGCTCTTTACTGTAGTAGGGGGCGGCAACTTGGCAATTACATCAATCTTTGCCTTGTTAACTTCAATTCCTTTGTTTGAAACAAGATGTCCCAAAACAATGCCTTGTTTTACCATAAAATGACACTTCTCCCAATTTAACACTAAGCTTGTTTCTTGACATCTTTCGAGAACTTGAGATAAATTTTGTAGACAAAGATCAAAACTATCCCCAAAAACTGAGAAATCATCCATGAATACCTCAACAATTTTCTCAACCAAGCTTGAAAATATGCTCATCATGCACCGTCGAAAGGTGGCTGGTGCATTACATAACCCAAATGGCATCCTCCGATAAGCAAAAGTACCAAATGGACAAGTGAAAGTGGTTTTCTCTTGATCTTCTGGTGCAATTGGAATCTGATTATACCCAGAATACCCATCTAGAAAACAATAAAATGCTCGGCCAGCTAACCTTTCCAACATTTGGTCAATGAAAGGCAATGGAAAATGGTCTTTTCTTGTCCCTGCATTAGGCTTCCTGTAGTCAATACAAATTCTCCAACCCGTAGTCAACCTTGTTGGAATTAACTCATCATTATCATTTTCACCACTGTAATACCTGTACGCTTAGGCACAACTTGTGTAGGGCTAACCCATTTACTGTCAGAAATTGGATAAATCATGACTACATCAAGTTGTTTCATTACTTCGTTTCGCACAACTTCTTTCCTGATGGGATTTAACCTTCTTTGAGCATCAACTGTAGGATTTATGTCATCCTCCATCAATATTCTGTGCATGCAAATGGTTGGGCTTATACCCTTAATATTAGCTATAGACCACCCCAATGCATCTTGGTATTTTCTTAAAACACGCAATAATTTTTCCTCTTCTATGCTTGTCAAATCTGAAGTAATAATAATTGACAGCGTTTCATCTGCCCCAAGATGTGCATATTTTAAATGTTTTGGCAATGGTTTTAGCTCCACTTTTGGGGGTTGCAATTTAGAAGGTTGCAGGGGCGTTTTTGGCTCTCCAAGGCTTTCATAAACATGTCTCCAACGTGGTAATTGGGCTGGTACACTGTCTAATGCTGTTACATACTAAAAAATGTCTTCATCCTCTGTTTGTGCTGTATCTGGACTATGTAAAACACTCAATAATGGATCAGATGTCAATCGAATCATAATTTCTGCATGAATAACACCTTCTAACACACCTACCCGCATACACTCTTGCTGTTCTTCTGGGCGTTTTGCAGCCTCAAATAGGCTAAAAACCACTGATTGGTCTTGAACTCTAAATGTTAAAGTGCCTGCTTCCACATCAATCAATGTTTGGGCAGTGGCCATAAAAGGTCTTCCCAAAATAATTGGTGTCTACAAATCTTCATCCATGTCCAAAACTACGAAATCTGCTGGTAGATACAAACTGTCAACCTTGATAATTAAGTCTTCAATAATCCCCCTAGGATAAGTAACAGAGCGATCTGCTAGTTGGAGAATAATGGATGTAGGCTTTAGATCTCCTTGGCCCAATCTCTGAAAAACAGAATAAGGCCCAATCAATTAATGCACGTTTAAAATTAGACTTTCCAATAGTGCAAGAAATTGTAAAACTCCCGGGATCTTTCTTTTTGGGTGGCAATTTGTGATGTAGAACTGCGCTGCATTGTTCAGTAAGAATGACCTTTTCAAAATCAACCAATTTCTTTTTGTGAGTGCACACATCTTTTAAAAATTTGGCATATGATGGAATGTTTTTTATTGCATCAAGTAGTGGCAGATTGATCTGAACTTTAGATAGAGTTTGCATGAAGTCCCTCAATTGCTTGTCTTTTGATTTTGGCTTCAAACGTTTTAGATATGGAATTGGGGCCTCATAAACATGTTCTGGGCATTTCTCTGTTGCTGGATTGTTTTTGGGTAGTTGTTGTTCAGCAGCAGATTCTGTAAGTTTTTCAGCAGATTCTGCAAGGTTTTCTGCCAAGTGGTCTTCACTTTTTGCATTCTCACGGTTATCATAACTTTTACCACACCGCAAAACTCTAACAGCACTGCATTCTTCTGAACCCCGTGGATTAGGGACTGTTTGAATTTTCCTTTCTCCCTTTCTGTGATATGACTTGTTAACTGGCCAAATTTCTTTTCCAGATTTTGAATTGAAGCTTGTACATTCTGCATATTCTGATCATTTTTGTCTATGTATTGCTTTGTAGATTGCATAAACATTTGGAGTGTATCCTCCAAAGAACGTTTGGGCTGCACAACTGGCTGTTGTATATGATTTTGCTGAAAAGGCTGCACTTGCTGGTTTCCTCCCCACTTCATATTTGGGTGATCCCTCCAACCTGGGTTATAAAAATTAGAATATGGATCATTTCTGGGTCTTTGAAAATTGTTGAATGCATTTACTTGTTCTGCCACATGTTCTGGATAAGTGTCTTTATGTGGGCAGCCCATAAAATCATGATTTGGCATGTTGCAGATGCTACAAACTGCTGCAGTAAGTTGTTGTACAGCAACCTGATGCACTGGTACTGTTATTTTATGCAGAAGCATGTCAAATTTTGAGTCAAAATTTTCAAGTTTTTTCTCCATTTTTTCGATTTGAACAGATACATGTGTTCCAATTGACATATAAAAAACGCCTTTAGTTTGTGTCTGGTCCGCTGCCCATTGTTGTGTTTCTGTAGCCATTTTCTCAAATGACTGAAATGCTTGTTAGGCATTTTTATTTGAAAACGAACCTCTGGATGATGCATTCACATAACTTTTGGTAATTGGATTTAAACCCCTGTAACATATTTGCATTCTTGTGTCCCCATTAATATCAGCATGAGGACACTTCCTGAATAAATCTGAAAATCGCTCCCAAGCTTCATGGAACTCTTCATTAGGCTTTTGAACAAAAGATAGAATTTTAGTTCTTATGTCAAGAGTCTTGGATGCTGGATAAAACTTGCTTAAGAACTTTTCGCTTAACTGTGCCCTGGAAGTGATGCTCCCAGATGGGAGTGTAAAAAGCCATGTTTTCGCCTTGTCTTTTACAGTATAGGGAAAAAGACAAAGCTTAATAGACTGTGCAGAAAACCCTCTAACCAAAATATTCTTGCACCCCATCAGAAATTCGGTAATATGCCTGTTAGGATTGTCATGAAGTCCATGAAAAGTAGGCAATATTTCCAACATGTGATGTCTAATCTCAAAAGTATCACCTTCATCTTCTGGATAAACAACGCAACTCGGTAATTCGTTAGCACGGGCTGCTAATGTTTGTCTCAAAGGCTGCCTAGCTTCGGGCATAGCAAAAGCCATTGTTTCTTCGCTTTCTAAAACGCTTAAAAATTGTTCCCGCCGTTGCTTTCGTAATGTTCTTTCAAGCTCAGGATCAAATTGAACAAGCTGTGCAAATTGTGGCCTGGTGTTGACCATGCACAGATTTCAATAATCTGGAAAGAAAAAAACGAAAATTAAAATTGAAGAATATTTTTTTGAACGAAAATAATTAATTAAGAATATGATAAAAAAAATTAATTAAAACAATCCCCGGCGTTGGCGCTAATTTCTTGATAGGATTTTTTTATACCTGCGCAATAGGGTTAAAATCACTGAAAATACTTGCAAGAATACAAGGTAATTGTAGTATAATTGCTCATGCAAGGTCGTTGTCCCCAAAGATTGTTTGACTAATTCATAATTTTTATCACCTCACAATTAAATCACTCTCTTTTCTCCCTCAATACCGCCAGCTCCCATATCTCTCTAAACCCTAGATCGTTCAATCAAATAGGCCTACAACATAAATGTTTTTTGAATTCTCTTGAATGGAATGAATTAATATGCAAGATCCCGAGATAGTTGTAACAGAATAACTAAATAGGATGCACCAAATATAAAAGAAAGAAATAGCGAAGTAATAATAATTGTAAATACCAAATATACGATATTAATGTTCAACACCAACTAGTACATTGTGAAAATGGGAGAAAAAAAATAAGTAATGTGTAAGCATAACTTGTTAAAACTAGCTTGTTATTATCTAACAAAGTTTTTCTTCCAAACATAACCACTCGATTTGATTCGATATTGTTCTCCAATTTTACTAGAATTTAATTTTGTAAGGAGAAAGAGAAAATTTTCTTTTGTAATTTTTTTTTTTTAAAGAAGATTAACTGATGGCTTCGCACATCAGTCCACCTTTTCAAGGACTTAGAAGACTCATAGAGATATTTGAATCTTCTTTTAGCTACCATCATCAATTTATTAGCACTAGGAATCAAATTTAAGACCTTGTACAATATGGACTTGAAATTCGTTTTTATTTGAACCACTGCTAGTGGTGGGTTTTGTAATTCCATAATGGGTAAATCGCCAAAATGGTCCCTGAGATTTGCATAACTCATCACTTTAGTCTCTTAGCTTCCAAATCGATAAAAGTGGTCCCTGAGATTGTCCACCATCCATCATTTCGGTCGTTCCGTTAAAAACTCCGTTAAGTGTCCCGGAGTTCTTGGCCGGAAGTTTGGGCAATTTTCAAAGCTTCGTAACTCAATCGTTTCTTAACCAAATTCGACCGATAATATATCAAAATGAAGATAGAAAAGTTTAGAATAATATTATACCTATTTCAAAGACCAATGGTTGCAAGAGATGGCTGGAAAATAGCCTCAAAGTTGACTGGTCCGAGTGAAAACTTGAAAACTCGCCAGAAACCGGGTAAACTTTAAACGTTCATAACTTCTTCAATACTCAACGAAATCAAGTGATTCAAAAACAAAAATCATACTTCTCAACGAGAAGAAGAGAATGATACTTTTTTTTTAACGGCTAACTTGCTGTGGTTTGGCCGAAAAATGGCTCGAAAGTGGCTAACTTGAGACCAAGAAAGCCATTTTCGAGCCGTTAAATCACGGCGAGTTAGCCATAAAAAAATGTACCATTCTCTTTGTCTCGTTGAGAAGTGTGATTTTTGTTTTTGAATCACTTGATTTCGTTGAGTATTGAAGAAGTTATGAACGTCTAAACTTTACCAAGTTTTCGACGAGTTTTCAAGTTTTCACTCGGACCAGTCAACTTTGAGGCTATTTTCCACCAATCTCCGGCAACAATTTGGCTTCAAAATAAGTATAATCTTATTCTTTACTTTCCTATCTTCATTTTGATTTATTATGGGTTGAATTTGGTTAAGAAACGATTGAGTTACGAAACTTTGAAAATTGACCAAACTTCCGGCGAAGAGCTCCTAGACACTTAACGAAGTTTTTAACGGAAGGACCAAAATGATGGATGGTGAACAATCTCTGGGACCACTTTTTATCGATTTGGAATCTCAGAGACCACTTTTATCGATTTGAAATCTCAAGAACCAAAGTAATGAATAATACAAATCTCAAACCATTTTAGTGATTTACCCTTCAATAATAACAGAAGAGCGGTGAGTAGACGACAACCGACCGCACCTTCCTAAACATTGGATTGAAGCGGTTGGAGGTCAAATGAGCACTTCTCTTTCTCTCTCTCTCCTCCCTCTCTGAACAAACAAACTTGATATTCTCTCTCCAATTGGGTTTGGTGAATTGAAGAAATAAATGTGGAAAAAATGCAAAAATTGTTGCCTTTTATCTTGAATACAAGAGTCTGATCCTCATCTCCCAACTCACAAGTCTTTCTTCTCCTCCACAACTTCTGCCGTTTTTTCCACCACGCCTTCTTTTTCTTCTTCTCTCGGGGTTTTGTTTATTGCAACTTCATCTTTCTCTTCCAAATTTCATACTCCCAAAATTATCTATTGGCCCAGAAAAAAAAAATAACCGAATTGCATTCGTACCCTGTTCATCTGTTTCTGCTCACAAATCTGCACAAACTCTGCAAAAAATCGTTCCTTTTTTGCATTAGCTTAGACCTTGATCGTTTTCAGCTCAATTGGTAATTGGGTTTTTGGAGAATTGGGAGAAAGCCATGTCGCCAGCTGCAATCGAGCCGGCATTTCCCGAATCGTCGTCTTTGAGCTCCCCTGATGTTCCTGAGAGATCTGAGAATCCTCGATTCAAGGACCTTAGAGGCGTCCAATGGCGTATAAATCTTGGGATTTTGCCCTCTTCCTCTTCTTCCTCCACTGATGATCTTCGTCGCGTTTCAGCTGATTGTAGAAGAAGGTGAATTTAGCTTCTCTTTTATGATTTTCTGCAGGTTTTTTTATTGTTTTTTGTTTTAAGTTTTTCACTGAATTAATGATTTTATGCATGGAATTTGCTGGGATAATCTTACATGGTTTACGATTGCCCTTTTGATTTGATCTTTTTTTTATTCATTAATCGATGGAATATGGTAAAGTGGTGTTAACGGTAATCTTAGAAAAATAAAAACTTGAAAGGGTTTGTAAGATACTGGTTCCGGGTTGAGTTAACGGCCCGTGGATTTTTGTAATGTGTTTCTTATGAGCTGTAAACTGTTTCGGAAACACGAAAACCTTGTTACTTTCATCTTATATCTTTATGATTCAAAAGGTGGCCTCTTGAATTTTTTGATTGCGTTTGGTACATGTAGTCGATTAGTTTAGCTGATTGATCCGAGTTTTAATGTGAATTATGACTTTAAGATCGCTGAATTTGTCTGAGTATATATATTGGACTTGCAGGTGATTTGTTGGTAATTTTATGTTCGTGTTTTCTTGTGCTAAGTTTACCTTGTGTACATTTTTAGGTATGCTGGATTGAGAAGGCGCCTTCTGGTTGATCCACATCCCCAAAAGGATGGGAGTAATTCTCCTGATCTTGCCATAGACAATCCACTATCGCAAAACCCAGGTAAAGTCAATGGATCCATATAACTATTGGAACTCCACCGAAAAACATGCACGAGCATGTTAATCCAACAATTTTCTTGAACTTGATTTTGCTATATTCGTTTGTGTGTCGTGTTTGTTTTACTTATTCATTATTAGCTTTCTATATGTAGCCGCTTTGTTAAAATGACCAAATCTGGAGGCATGTTTGTAAATGAAAGTGGACTCTCTTTTGGAAAGGGAAACAGCTTTCTTCTACTGACGTGCCAATGTGTTTTCAGATTTTCCTGTGAGAAACTGTTACAATCTAAAAAACAAATGAATAATTATTTGCATCATTGTAGCAGTGTCAGACTGTACAGCACCAAATCAAATCAATGGGTGGCATTGTAGCTCCTCACGAGTGATGCAATTACTAATGTATGCTGTGTTGTATTGTGAATCTCACAAGCAGATAGCACATGGGGTCACTTTTTCCGGAGTGCCGAGTTGGAGAAAATGGTTGATCAGGATTTATCACGTTTATACCCAGAACATGGAAGCTACTTTCAAACTCCAGGATGCCAAGGCATGTTGAGAAGAATCTTGTTATTGTGGTGTCTTAGACATCCAGAGTGTGGTTACAGACAAGGTATGCTAAAATGCTCACATTAATTTTCTCTTTTCATTTAAGATTTTGTTATATTCGGGATCCTGGAATATGGTTTCAGGATATAACATTCCTTTATGTTTAAAGTGATTAATTCTTATGAGCTTGGCATTTAGAGCACACTGTCTCTCCATGTTATCCCAATTAGGAATAGGCAGACTAATGCTCTTGCAGCATTTCTCCTTAATACGAAGTTTCTCATAGGCATTAGACAACTTCCTGCACTACGTCCCATGGCGTTGTGAGATATTTAAAGATTTTCCACCAACGCATTTTTCTCTTCAATGGTTCATCGAAAAAGTTCACCATGTGTCCTGCTTGCTTTGTTTAAAGACTTGAATGGCATTGGTCTTGAAATCTCATATTATAACGCATAATGCATGTTTTGGTTTTATACAATATATCCTGATAAAAAATCTAATACAACTGGTCTCAACAAAATGATTAATATTATGGTATATTTATTTTAATTTATATTTTCAGAAAGATTTATGGTGAAA